ACTCTGGGAGGCTACAGCAAAAGGATCAAAACTTCAAACCCGGCAATTCATCGAGACCAGAGTGGGCTGGGGATGTAGCTCAGTGTGAAGAATTGAGGTTGAGTTCCGAATACAAAAAAGAAAATAAAACCTTCTGGATTTTGCTGACACAGTCTGCCCCTTTGGGTACTTACTGTACATACAGACATATAAAAAGGTCCAAAGAAGTTCAGAAAAATGGTGATTTACACAGACATGAAGTCAATTCTATATATAACACATCTTAATTCCACTTGTATTTGTATTAAATATGAAGCAAAGCAGTAACTATTACTTTTCACTCGCAATCGTCTCTAGTTGAAAAAGTTCCTGCAGTCTTCTGTCAGTGGTTGTAAAGCCATTCAACTCTGTTGTTGTCTGAATGTCTGTCCGGCTGCCAGTGGACTGGCCCCAAAAGAACATTTTTGCATCTCAATAGACTGCCCGGTATCAGCAATCTTTAAACTATAAATTTAACGCCTGCTACAGAAAGCTGGAAATAGCACCTGCATTGTACTGTCTTGGTATCGCATTTACACAGTGAACAAATAATCAGACTTCTTTTTCTTATCTTGCACCCTGCATCAGAGGGTCTCAAGTGGCCTGATAAACATTAATTAACTGGGCCGCATAACCACACAACACTCTAGTTAGGATGGCTGCATCAGGATCCTCTGTAGGAGCCAGACAGACAGACTTCCTGGGAGGCCACCCTTGGACAGTCAGGGACTGATCTTGGTCTACAGGCCCAGAGCCTGGAACTCATTCCCTCAGGGCCACGGCTGAACAGCTCCGCTCCAGCCACGCAGTGCGGGATAGGCCTGAAAACCGACAAATTCATAAATACCTGCACACGGGAAACTGAAATCAATTTTGAAAAGGCTGGTTTTTCCTCTAGGTGCACTGAAAAGAGTAGTCTACTCGCCAAAGGGGAGGAGCCTCAGGAAGAATTTGAGCCTATGAGTTACCCAGCTATGACACTGTTTTGACAAATGACGGGCTTCTTCCTCCTAATGCCGATTGGCCAGTAAGTTTCTCACCGACTAACCCATTCAACTTCATTTATGACATTTTGTTAATGACGAAAATTTCATTTGATACTTAAAATTTTTGTGAAATTTAACGAGCAAGTATTTTGTCCCGGCCCATGTTTTTAATCAAATGAACAATTAAGCTTTCTGTGATAAAATCCAATCCAAAAATTCCAGTATAAGAATAAAATCCAGAATTTACTACCCAGTAAAAATAAGAATAATAAATTTATACTGCATATGAGTTTTCCTAAAAATTAGTGTTCTATATAAGTGCACACTAGAGAAGAAATGGATAGAGAAAAGGGCTCAAAGCTAAGTGATTCCCAGACTCCACTACTCTACTTAGGTTTAAAATGGAAAAGAAAAACCTCCTGGAAAATACAAAAACTTACTTTTAGCATAGATCATGTTCAATGCTAACATGTTTCATATGTTAACCTCTGTAGAGAGCTCTATTTCATACGTAAATAAAAACACTCCGTTTTTAAAGTATTAAATGTTGGTGACCATTCTCAGGTGATGAGAAGGTGTTATAGGATCTATTCTAGAAGTTTGAAAACAATATAAATCAAAGTTTTCATAAGAGCTTGGAATATTTCTAGCAAAGACTCTAAAGGCTTAAATATCATTCAGAAAATGTTTGATGGTTTTATAGAAATACTGAGTGGTTAAAATGCAACAAAAAGCCTAATTTGTATAAAGCAATTTATAATATAAAGCCTTTGTCAATGAGTTCTTTCACACACTCAAAGAACAATGGTCAACACAGATGACATGCACAGCTAAAAAAAATTTATATCGAGGTCACTTCCACACTAGCACAAGGGAAAAATAAATATAGACACTCACTAAATGAAAGCACACACGAATGATCTTATATTTAACACAAAACAAGGGACAAACACTGACCGAGGCAAAAAAAAAAAAAGGAGGAAAAAACTAATGCTAATGAAGGGAACATTTTGAAATTTTAGCTCTTATGATTTTTATACTTCCTTCCTCACTTTAGAGAATACAGCAAACTGTCACTGCTGAATCCAGTTAAAAAAAAAAAAAAAAAGTACCAGAAAGACTAATATTCTGAAAGCAACATGGTAATTTATGTGCTTTGTGACATTCATCCTATCCATTAAGAACATTTCCATTGCTTATCAGCACAGTCTTAAAGTATTTAAAGCAACATATTCTTACGGCATTTTTCCACACTTTATTCTTGATTTCAGTATTTAAAGAAGATTGTTAAGTTTTTCCTCTTCGTTTTGGAAACTCTATGTATAAAGTTACTACTAATGTGCTCGCTCTATTAATGCTATGCTAAATGTACTATTTAATAAGAAATTTATTTAAAATCTGGTACTTTCTAATTCCTAAATTTCTAAATAAACTGTATTTCTAAATAAGCATATCCACCAGCAAGGAGTGATTTCAAGTTTCCTTCTACTATCTGAGTCAAATGTAGACACTATATATTTACACACACCTCCATTTTACTCAAAACATGTAGATTGTATCTGTATATTTCTATTGTGCACATATAAATTATGGGACATCTTCACTAACAACTAGACCTTCACAACTACAAAGTGAAAGCACATCAGTCTCCCTTTAGTAAACAGCACAGTGATATTCTGCTGGGTTTTCCCTCTGGATGGAGGCTGATGAACTGAAAAGGCCCCATTTGTTATGGTAACTCAAAAATACCAATTTCTACCACCAAAGTAGAATTGTATCAATTTCACAGTGAGAATGCTTCTTAATTTTCTCAGGTGTTCAGACTCTTAGCTAAGACAGACAACATCTCAAAAAATGATGTTCTGAGCCAGGGATGTAGCAGAGCAGTGTAGTACCTGCCTAGCAACTGTGATGCTGAGTTCAATTCCTAGAGCCAAAAATGAAGAAAGAAAAAAAAGACCAAAATGTTTTTATTCAGTTATTAAACTAAATTTTGCACAACAAACTAAACTGGCTGCTCTTCCTGGTCTTAATTTTTTTTGGGGGGGATACTGGGGATAGAACTCACAACCTTGCACTTGTAAGGCAGGCAGCAGAACCACTGAGCTAAGTCCCCGGCCCCTCTTCCTCGTCTTATCCAATAAACTGGTGATCTTTAAAAGCACACTACCCAAATACAAAAATGTGAATTTCTGAATATTCAAATTTTACTAAAATCATGGAAGAATGATTCAGAGCTTGCATAAAAATATGTACATGTATATTTAATTTTTTCAGTAGTCTGAAAGGTGGTAGATCCTGCCTATAAAGACTAAATCACAGGGTTGTGGTAGGCAGGCTAACTCTGAAATTTTCCTACTTCAGCAGCTACCAGGGAGGAACTGAAAAGATAGTTGAAATGGTGTAATAGAAACTTAAAGACAGGGAATTACAGAAGTAGAAGAATTGAAAACAACAATTTTTAAAAAAAGTATCATCATTGCAGGCCTCCTCAGAAAACGTAACTGTACTGCTCAGGATTTCTGCTTCACTATCTCATCAATTATTTAGTATTCCAGGTTCTCAGAGTACACAGAAAGTGACAGAAAAAGAGATATGCTAAAAATAACCAACAAGAGTCAAACAGTTTGGCATCAATTGTAGATACCACTGATGAAACCATTAAAGTAGCTGAATGGAGAGGGCTCCAGGGATGCCAATGGGAGGTGTCCACGTGCCACACTCTCAAGACAAAATATGAAATTAACCAATGGTAGACTGCATTCCTTACCACCGGAAGTGAAATTTACAAAACTTATCTAATCCGAGCCTTATAACCAGAAGGCAGGGTCTCCTGAGTCCAGAAGGATACAGGCTCACTAGGAAAAGAATGAGTATTTACAATCATACAAAGACAGCTCCATAAAGCTCTACAAGAGGAACTCACTCTGTTGAATCCCCTCTTGAAAGGCACAGGAACCATTTCTCTTTCTTCCCAAGTTACTAGTAATAAACTTGCTCCTTTCCTAGAGAAAGGATTCTTTGTTTCTCACAGTGGACATCCCCTACCATACCCAAGCCTTCTCTTAGCTCCAGGGACTGGCTACAGGCAGGAATAGTAACAGCCTTTATAAGCAAGTGTGGCCTGTAAGGGCCTCTCTCCACTTCACTGTGGAATACCTGAGCAGCACAGGTGGGCCTCAGACAACCTGCGGGGAGGGAGACAAAAGCCACCAACCAGACCTGGAGAAGAGCAATTTTTCTCTCCAGTCCTCAGTGGTTTCTGAGCAGCAGTCCACAGCCCTGGGCTGACTGCACTCTTTATTTCCTGACTGGATCTTTTGTACAGGTTAGCTAGTTTCTGATCCTACTTTCGAAGCACGAACAAAGCTTCAAAATCATCCCAACTCGACACTTTCTCAGCGTTGAGGTGAAATGCTGAAACTGTGGTGCCTGAGGCAAAACCCAAGCATCGCTTACTGGGAACTTTGAGAATTTTCAAAAACCAAATTATTTCCTGACAGAGTTGAGTCTACACAGACAGCACGGAGAGAAGAAATGGAGGGTGTTCTTCTACGAAAAGGTCTCATTCTGTGTTTCCACCGGGGACACCATCTTCCCCCCTAAAAGGTCCTGACTGTCTAAAACGTGCACTGTCCTTCCTGGGATGGTCTTCGTTCCTCATCACTGTCCCTCTTCCTAGCAAATAAACAGCAAACTCTTGTCTTCATAGGCGTCTAGGGTTTGCTTTTGTTTAACCCCACGTCTGCATCTCCCCAGGAGTCCACTTGATCAGTGATCTCTGCTAACGTCCTCATGCAACCCATCCCGGCCCCGGCCGCAGCCCCTAACAATCTGGAGATGTGCCTCCTTCTGGGCCTCGGGCCTCCTCTGTGCAGAGGTGGCTCTGTGGCTCTGCACCATCACCCCGCGCTCGCTGGACGAGAGCCGCCCACACAGCCCCGCACGCGGCGCAGGCGCCATCCCCAGAAATAGCGAGAAAGTAAACCTTCCTACCCGTAGCAGGGACTGCGACTCGTCCTTGGCCTTGCTCTCTCCGGACGCGGGGAACTGCGGGCCCAGGGCCCCGG